GTGCTGTGCATCATAAAATGGGTGTTTGGTGCAATAGATCGAAAGAGCGAAAGGTATCCCCCACCCCTTGAAGTGGTGAGAACAGAAGAAAAGAAACTTTGTTGGATGTAATTCATCGGAATTATAAGTGTCCTGTTTGTATGAAGGAAATGCATATGGTCGAATGTCGGAGGATATTGGCAATACAGAGGATGTCATTTACTTTTATTTTTGTGTTTGTGCCGATGCCACTATACAGATTCTAGTTCAGATAATTTTAGGAGTTTTGCCATGCTGTTGAGGAATTTCGTTTGATTGAAGCTACTGAAATTTCTAAATAAGGTAAATGGATATTTCCTTTGTGTAATGTTAAGATGAATTTCCTTTTTTATGTTATTTATTGTTTGATTTAAAATGTAGTTTATTGAGATTATATATTTTTTTGTTTGGCTCTAGTGTAGAATTGGCTGCTCCTTTGACTTTTTAAGTGAAAATAAATTAATGTGTACAGGGATAAAGTCAACGGAGTGCACAATGCAGAGATTGTGCAATTCTCTGATTATTTTTTTAAAGTGAAAATAGGTCGATGTGTACATGGCAACCAAGTCAAAGAATTGCACGAACTCGGTGTCCATGTACTGTCAAAAATCGTCAAGGGGCTGCCGTAAATATATTTTTACCATTATTTATAGTAAAGACTTAAATAATAACTGATAATTAACATAAGATACTTTACAAATCTAATAACCTGGCTCTTGATTTAAGCAGTCTCACTAGTTGCCAAACAGTTAAAAGCTGCTAATATTTTGTCTCCCCAACCAAACAGGCAAAGGAGCTGGCTGCATGATTTTCCCCATGTGCAACATGAATACCACCCACTTTTCCTTAGAAAAGTCTTCATGAAGGCATTCCTTTCCTTAGGGAGGAAGTCACAATGTGCTTTGCCAGAATAATCAGCCAACCTAATTTATACACAATTTTTAAACTAAGAAAACCAGAAACTCAGAGAAGCCCGAAAATAACAATTAGAATTCAGGTCTTGAGTAATCACAACTTGACTTTTATAAATGTATTAATTCTACATCCTCTTTTTGCATAGAACTATATTCTGCTTTGAAAAGGACAGTCTTTGAAGAATTAAGTGTGACAGCCTTTTAAGTGTATACAACAGTTTGTTTAAGAAATTTATTAAGACCATAAAATATCTACAGAATTATTTTTATTTGCTACCTTCGCTACACACAGAAAAGACGATAATCTTATATTCTAGTAAATTTTGCCATTGTTAAATATTTCTTTGGGAAAAGAGAGCATGTTTTATCAAGATTTTTGACACATTGTTTGATGTACTCAAATATCGAATGCATATACAATGCACAAATCTGGATTTAGCAAAATAAATTTCGCTGCATATAAAATTAAGTTAAGTAAAATAGCAGACGATAAAATGGTGAAGGCACAAATTTACTCTTATGAAAGCAAAAAAGTCTTTAGACTTTTGATTAATATTTTTTATAAATTCAAAAAAATAGCCCTTCCTGTATACTTAAATAAATACTTATTAGACATTATTAAGAAAAATGAAAATACATAAATTCTGCATGAATGATCCTCAATAAAAGTTTATTAGGAAATTTAAAGTTCAAAATAATTATTGCAATTCATTGAATTATTATTTTGAACCTTAAATTGAATTTTACAAAACTTGACACTAATGCATAATTTGAGGTATAGGACTGAAACAATGGGGAAAAAATCAGTATGTTACTATCAAAAAGAGTCAGATTAAATATCTAATGTTGGAACAAAGCAATATATAAATCTAATATATTTCCTAAGTTGTGCTTTTGAGACATGAAAATTTCAAGTTAAATTGGCTGATCTTTGGAATATGGTAACAGGTAATTTGGTGACATTTTGGAGGCGATAAAGGTTACTACCTAGGACTTTGGTAATAATGTGAGAAGCACTCAGTTCCGATTACACATTATTTTGTGTGAGGGAAATGAGAGATCATGAGATATGTCATGTGACATTAATGGACGAATTACAGTTCTTTAATCGGAAATGGGGGTAAATTTGGAAAAATTATTTTGTATTAAGCTTCATTGTGTTGTGTGAAATAGTGTTGATTAATGTTTGGATTGCATGGCGCTATGTAAAGTAAATTCTAAATTTTTAATACGTAATAATCAATAATAAGTTGACTACTGGATTTTGGATTTAGAAATTAGCAGTAGTACTGCAGCCGATTGGAACTCTTTCTGTAGGGAAGTGTACGTGCCACATAATGAAGATTCTGAAGAAGATTAGGTAAGTTAGTATTTTTAATCATTTGAGGATATTATTTTTATGCATTGTTCTAAATGTAAGGAGTAAATGAATTAAAATGGTATTATTGGAAAATTGTTATTAGCAATGATTTAGTTTAAAGTAATTAGGATTGTAATCTAATTTTTATTAATTTAATGTATGTGCTTATTTATATTTTAAGTAGTGTTTTTTAATTTAATTATATTTTAATTTAATGATCGTGATTTTGTGTGTGTTTGTAGTATTTTGGAATATGTTTCAGTAGTATACGTTGAGTATTTTCATGCATTTTCATGAAATTTTTCTAATTTATGAGAAAAAGCAGTGTACATGGATATAGTGAAGAGTGTGCGCAATGTCATTTTCGTGCAATTCTGGGATGTTTTTTTAAGTAAAAATAAGTCGTAAATAAATACATGGTTTAGTGATATTTTAATTAAATGACAGTTATTTTGTGATTTTTATGTTTGTAGGAATTTGGTATACATCTGAGTTAAAGTAAACATGTATGGAAATAATTTAAATATTTGTAACTATTTTAATGTTTGCATATAAATTCGTTGGTGACGTTTATAATATAATGGATAATTTAGAGGTAAAAGCTTTTGGATATTTTATTTATTTTATACATGGAAATGTTCATCCTTAGAAAGGGTATACACTTTTTCGCGATCAGGTAATTTCATATATGTGCTTTTTACCGAGTTTAAAGATTAAGAAAATTTTCCTGCATTTTCGTGCAAATTTTTGTAATTTATGAGGAAATAGCAGTATAGATGGATAAAAGTTAAGCGTGTGTGCAATGCCATTTTTGTGCAATTCTGGGATTTTTTTTAAGTAAAAATAAGTCGACGTGTAAATGGTTTATGTGTATGTGCTATTCTGAAAAACGCGCAAGGAGTTTGTGATTGTGCACTTTTCCCCAATTTTGCAGTTAATATTTGTCATGATTAAGCAGTTTTGTTACATAAAATTTCTAGCATAAGTGTAATTCGGCTAGTAGATTGTTGGAAAAAGTGTTGAGTAAATAAAAAGGAAAGAAATATGTCTTTACTTCGTGAAGAGAAAATGGCGGCGAAAAAAAAGTAGAGGGTTGTTGTAGCAGAGTTGGTCACCAAATTTTTCGCCAAAAAATCACCAAGTTACCATAATCCAAAGATTAACCGTTAAATTTCATCCATCAGCCCAGTAGAACAGCAGATACAGAACTGTCGACCCCTTTTTTTGACTCTGTGAACATGAAGCAGATCATTACAATACATTTCGATGAGTAAATGAACCACAACAAAATTTATGCTAAGTACTTGCAAAATAAACATCATTAACAGAAAATGAGGGGATTACTCAAACCCATACAACACTTAATTGAAACTCCATCCCATACTATGGGATTTCTATTCATTTCACCATACTTAATTGTATTATGAACCAATAATAAAAATATCTAGAAAGAACTAAATTGAACTACATATTACACAAAATGGAAATACCTGTCTTAAACGTTGCACTTAAACCAGCAAATATTACACTTTCATGTAGCGACAACTCAGGTGTTATTTGTTGAATTGAACCACTTCGGAAACTAACAATTTGGGCTCCAGGGTAGAATTGGGGAAAAGTGCAGAATCGCCCACTTATTTATTTGGCGCTTTTTATAAGAGCAAGAAGAATTGGATTTTTGTCAATTTTCTTCGACTTTTTAAGTGAAAATAGGTCCAAGTGTACATGGATAAAGTCAAGGGAGTGCACAATGCCATTTTTGTGCAATTCTGGGATGTTTTTTTAAGTGAAAATAGATCTATTTGTACATGGATACCAAGTATGTGCAATTCTTAAAAACGCACCAAGCAGTGGGTGATTCTGCACTTTCCCCAAATTGGGTGCCCCGTCGATTAGCGAAAAATTTTGTTCAATTTTGGTGATGAAACCCCATTTCTGGTTACCATGATAGTTTTAAATTTGCTTTAGATTCCTGATTGTTTTAAGTGAAAATAGGTCAATGTGTGCATGGACAAAGTTATGGCAGCGTGCAGTGCCTAGTTTGTGCTATTCTCTGATTTTTTTAAAAATGAAAATAGATAGATGCGTACATGGACACCGAGTTTGTGCAATTCATTAACTTCTAATTTTGGTTCTGTGGAGCGGCCATCTTGAAATTGTGCCTCTCTGGAATAAAAAAAAAAAACTAGAGGCACCCAATTGATTTTTGACACTGCAAGGAGCTTAAAAAGATTTTGCTTGGCTGAATTTCAACATAAATTGGTAAAACTGAAAAACATATTTTACTGAAGCCCAGAATTTAATGTTGGTAAGAAATTTTATAAATCAAAAATTCTTGAGGAGGCAAGAAATTTAGCACCACAGAAGAACTTAATGATTTGTATCATTCAAGAAAAACAGATGTTCTACATTTAAGTTTAACTTAGGAAGTCGGAGATAAATAAAAACGTTGAGTTTGCCTTTTTTTTAATCGTACAACCTACATACAAGCCCAAATGACATTAAAACAAAACTGCAATTTAGTTACGGTACAACGATCAGAAATGTTTTTTAAAATCTGAAATTTTAACTATCTTAGAGCAGAAAATTACACTATACTATTTTGAAGAAATATGAACAGTTAAGCATTATACATGAAAATAAGATGTTATGATTTCTACTGAGGTAAGTATACACGCTATGAGAAATGTAGGATTAAAAAAGGATACAACATAAACTGTTAAAAATAATAAGCCGCCTATATCAAACAGTGAAAAAACAAACAATGTAACATCACCGATCATCTTTACAAACTTATAATTACTTTACAGCATGGATTTTTGAAATACACAAATAAAAACGAAAACTTAAAACACCGATTTCATTATTTCTGCAAGCACGTTCTGTAAAAGTTGAGATGTTTATCACATGAGTGTTGCTCTGTTTACTTTTCAACAGAGTACATTAGTTTTCTCAGATGAATTTTTGTGAATATATATATATATATTATTAGGAAACTAATTCAACTAAGTATGCTAACAAACAAAACGCATAAAAGTTAAAATACACTGGAAACACTGAAATATTTAGATTTCAAATTGTTATGTAACTGCAACTACCACTCCAAAGGTCACATGTGTTGGTCTGCTGCCGGTAGAAAATTATCTGAAATTGTGAGTGTTATTTATCGGCTCGTCATTTTGTAGGAGTGAAATGATTTATATATAACAATGGCAGAAAATGTAGCATTATCTAACAGAATGTCCAAATTAATCGGAGCTGTTGACCAAGGAACAAGCAGTTCCCGGTTTCTTGTTTTTTCAAGTGATACAGCTGAAATAATAACTTACCATCAAATAGAGACTAAGCAAATTTTTCCTCAGGCTGGATGGGTCGAACAGGATCCTCTGGAGATTTTATCTTCCGTTCGATTATGCATAGATAAAACCGTTGAAAAGCTTAAAGAGTTTGAAATTGATCCATGTAATATAAAAGCAATTGGTGTTACTAATCAAAGGGAATCTACTGTAGTTTGGGACAAATACACCGGAAAGCCCCTGTATAATGCAATCATATGGCTCGACACGAGAACTGTTGATACAGTTGAGTTGTTATCTAAGAAAAGGGGGTCCAAAGCCGTCCAAGAGAAAAGTGGATTGCCAATAACAAGTTATTTTAGTGCAGTTAAATTGAAATGGATGATTGAAAATGTTGCAGAGGTAAGAGAAGCATTACAGAAAGATCAGTGTTTGTTTGGAACTGTTGATTCATGGATTATTTGGAGTTTAACTGGAGGTATTAAAAATGGCATTCATGTGACTGATGTAACAAATGCTAGTCGTACATTGCTGATGAATATAAGATCATTGGAGTGGGATCCTTGGTTATGTAACTTTTTTCAAATTCCCATGTCTGTTCTACCAAATATTCGCAGTAGTTCTGAAATCTTAGGTTATATTTCAAGTGGATCATTAACTGGTGTTCCTATTTCTGGTTGTTTAGGTGATCAAAGTGGAGCCTTAGTGGGTCAGTTATGTTTCAAACCTGGGTCTGCAAAAAACACATATGGTACTGGATGTTTCTTGCTGTGTAATACAGGCAAAGTCCCTGTTTTTTCACAACACGGACTTTTAACTACTGTTGCATATAAATTAGGTCCTGACAAACCGGTTATTTATGCTCTTGAAGGATCTGTTGCCATTGCTGGTGCTTTGATTCGATGGTTAAGAGATAATCTAGGAATAATTGTAGATTTATCACATATTGAAACTCTTGCTAGTTCTGTACCTAGTAGTCATGGTGTTTATTTTGTTCCTGCATTTTCTGGTCTGTATGCTCCATACTGGCATCCCAATGCTAGAGGCACAATTTGTGGTTTGACTCAGTTTTCTACCAAAGCTCACATAGCTCGAGCAGCACTTGAAGCTGTATGTTTCCAGACGTGTGAAATTGTTAATGCTATGAATGCAGACAGTGGATTTCCATTAGAACAACTTCAAGTTGATGGAGGAATGACAAGTAATACTCTACTGATGCAAATTCAAGCTGATCTTTTAGGATTACCTGTTATCCTGCCTTCCATGCCAGAAACTACAGCTTTGGGTGTTGCAATGGCAGCTGGTGCTGCTAAAGGAATTGAAGTATGGGACCTTGAAATTGCTGAGCGTACTGATATTACCACTGAAACTTTTATTCCTAGTATACCTCCAGCTGAAAGAGAACTACGTTATTCAATATGGAAAAAAGCTGTCCAGCGTTCTATGAATTGGGAAGATGAGAGTACCAAAAAGAAAATAGTAAGAAATTCTCTGCTGCAATCTTTGCCAGGTGGAATATTTTTGTTTTCATCATTTGCCCTTCTTTTGTTAGCTGAGAGTCTTGTGAAGAAGTGATTTGAATATTGTATTAATGCTTTATACTTGGGAATTAATTTTATAAGAAATACTTTTAAAGCTTTTATATATCAAGATTCAAAAATATACCGTGGACAGCCATGCCGTTTCTTGTTGTTTGACTTCTGAATTAATTTTATATATAATTGTTACTTTTTTGTGTACTGTTGTTAGTGTTGCTGGTTAATACACTTCAGTTAAGTTGTTTTCAGTTATTTTATCATTATCATAAAACAAAGCACAAATCTTTATTTTTGAATATTATGTGGTTAAACACAATTTATGATATGCACCTAACATTTTTAAAAGGTGTTGAATTTTTTATGGTTGTAGTCATAGCAAATTGATGTAAACAAATCGATGAGAGAGATTATAATGATCATATTCTTTTGCCTAAATAATGCATTAAGCTGCATTTCAGAAATGATATGATTTTAATTATATTTCATGCTCTTGTTTTTTAAATATTTAATCTTGATAATTGGTTTAATTATATTTCACAAGATGGCTGTTGCGTAATATTCCTGTTGTGCATAATGTACAGGTTGATTGATAGTAATGCAGAAATAATATCTTGTGCCTTTTAATCATATAGGTAATTGGCTGATGTAAAAAGAATTAGCACCTTGAGTATGAGCAGATTAGGTAATTTAACTTTATAAATGGAAAAACTTGGAAATGTGCATTGAAATTTTTATAAAAATTGCCTCACATTTTTTAAACAGTTAATTGATCATTTTTCTACCTAGATTGCGGAAGATGGTAGGTGAAGTAATGTTTCCAAGTCTTATCGATGTATTAAATATTTAATTTCCAGTAAGTATACAGTTAATAAAATGAAGTTTACGTGTAAAATGAAGCTAAATACAATCAAAATGATACACCAAGCAATGATTGTTGGAAATACTAAGATAAAAAAATATGCAAATATATGAAAAATTAAGCTGATTCTCGTTACCTTAGCAAGCTGTCAACCTTGAAATCTTAAAAAACTGGGAACTTTAACGCTGCATGGTGACACCATTTCGAAGCAACTCTCAATTGACTTTTTGGTAAAATCTTAGGAGAGCCCAAATCCTTGGCGACAAACTGGGAAAGTGCAGATTCACCTACTGCTTTGCACGTTTCTCAAAATCGCCAAATTGAAATTAGTCAGTCAAAGAATTGAAAATTTGGTATCCATGCACACATCGACCTATTTTCACTTAAAAACATCAGAGAATTGCACAAGCTTGACATTGTACACTCTTGAATTAATCCATGTCTACATCTGTGCGTGTCATATAAGTGGGTGCGTCAAGGGTGTGGGCTCTGCTAAGAACTGACTGACTTTAATTCACTCAATAATGTACGTCTAAAATTGTTTTAGTGTGTAAGGGAATCGTGTAATATCTTTCCAAGAGCATTTTCAGATACAATTTGATTTTAACTAAATTTTAGCTTCTTTTTAAAGAAAAGCATACTTTTTATTTATCAAAAATTAGGAAATTATATTTGAAATATTCTTGAATATTTTTACCAGTGGTATAGATAGGGTGGGGTAAGGGTTAGGGTTATTGAACTATTTATAATTCCGTTCTGATGTTCTCAGTATATTAGTATTTAATTGGTTATACTAAATTTTATGTCCTCTGGCTAATTTCATTTTTCAATTTTCTTGCACTTTTGTACCGAGAAAAATCCGAAGTACTGATGGAAAGATTTCATTTATCAAAATATTTTTAAGCGCGATGAAAATAAACTTACTACACGTAGTATTTGTGCGGATAAACTTAGTACTGTAGCATACATTGAAGTAAACAAAATTAAGTATAAATGTTAACTGATTAAATATTTCTTCAGTCTTCATATAAAAATCTAAGAATGTGTACAGTAGATTAAGAGAACTCAGATCGAATGAAATTATAAGACTAAGATCTGTAAAATGTAATAAGTGAAAAATAAAGTCAGGCAAAATAAAATTTAATGAGAAATATTATTCTAAAAATCATAAGAGGTGAGGGAATGGCATTTGCCTAATTTAAGTTTCATTAATTCAATAACTTTCATTTGTTGCTGGGACATTTGCTTTAGTAAAAGCTAAAAATTAGAAATTGCCAGAGTTGGCAGCTATGCTTTGGTATCTTTGATAAGAGAATGTATTTTTGCATTAAATTGTTTAGTGTGTAATGGAATCATGTAATATCTTTCCAAGAGCATTTTCAGATACAGTTCGATTTTAACTAAATTTTAGCTTCTTTTTAAAGAAAAGCATACTTTTTATTTATCAAAAATTAGGAAATTATATTTGAAATATTCTTGAATATTTTAACATTGTCTTCCTTATCAGTTTATCCAGTGGCATAGATAGGGTGGGGTAAGGGGGACATCTGTCCACGGGCAGCATCCAAGGAGTGCCAAATTGATCCTACAAAATTTTTAATGAAATGTTTTCCATTCTTGGCACACAGAAAGAGGCGCAAATTCTTCAGTTGTCCCCGCGTGCTGGAAACTCTAGCTACATCCCTGAGTTTATCTTTATCTTGATATATTTTGTCTTTCAGATAGTAATTGAAAATTTAATGTGAATTTTGTTTTAATTTAAAGCAAATTCAGATGGTAACATAACCCCAAGAGCTGAAATATTGATCTTGGTTAATTTTTAGCCTAAAATACAGTTGGTAACTCTTTCTTGAGGTTTTTGTGACTTAGAGAAGCACTAACACAAAGAAACCACGAAATGTAAACGTCACAAAAAACTGCGATAGTAGTTTAAAGCTGGTAACCTAACAATTTGTTCATTCAGAGGTAACAATCATGCTTCTTACTTTTCCTTTGGTTCCCTTCATAGTTGCTCACCATTTTGCAGTTTGTAGCACCAGCCTTATTGTTTGTCTTTGCACATGTAATTTGTTCTTTACTGATTTATTATTTTACAGTAAATTACAAAAAATGGGTTAAACATAACACGTAAGGTACATTCACAGTAATTTTAAACACAAATATTTTTATCCCATAGGGTAAATATGTCTCTGTCAGTTTCCTTCATGCCACAAGTTTTTGAAAGAAAAAGGAGGGACTGTTTTCAAGGCCATACAAATGTTATAATAAATGAAACAAAGTATTACTCTATATAAGCATGCCATTTTTTAAATTTCCTTTTTAATACTAAAATTAAATATAAATCTGTTTCAATAATAATACAGTCAAAAGTCGTTAATCCGGACCTCAAAGCTACATGCGAGTGTACGCATGCGCATAATACGTTAACGCATGCGCGTTTAATGTTTAACGGACAGTATAAGCTAAGGTAAAATTATCTATTTCAGTTAATGTTGCAGATTGCGTTGTTCCTTAATCTTCAAATCGGATCCGGCTTATTATTTTTTGCAGACTGTTAGAGCAATTTTATAAAAGTAAGCTTGAACTTTCGATTATGTCAAAAAGAATTTCCGATTCTGGAGCTACCAAAGGATCTACAAAGCAAACACATGTTCCGAGGTCCATCAAACAAAAAGTGGAATTGCTGCAAAAAATGGATAAAGGCATATCCTTTGATTATCTAATCATTCCGAAATATGTTTATCAATTTCATGCTGCTCTGCGGAAGGGGGGGGGAGACGACGCGGCGCGCAATGAATTGAAAGTTGATCTGTCAGCACTATCCTTATCTTCAGGGCAGATGTTTTTATTTTATTTGGCTTGTAATTCATTACTAAATGTAGTATTTCATCTCGATGTACTCTGATATGATTTAAATCAAATTCATTATAAATATCACGAATACACATCAAATAGTTTTCTGGTTGCAATTTTCTAATTTCGACTATGCATAATGTATGCTATACGCATGCGCGCATTGAAAGAAATGTTTAATAAAGTAAACAAATAAATATTAATTTTTTTTTTTTTTTTTTTTTTTTTTTTTGTAAATTTTGATACCCTTTAGATCATAATTGTTCTTTATTTCAGAAATTACGGTTTCATATTTTTAATTTTATAATTTCTGCATGCCATCTTACCAGATTTAAACTGAGGTTCTATAAACCGGAATTGCCGAAGTCCCAACGAGTCCGGATTAAAGACTTTTAACTGTAACAACTTTCTGATAATACAAGGGGTACCCTTCAGTCTACTCTAACCAAAAATAATTCCATCTATTTATTTTTAAAAATTCAGGAAGGATAGTGTGAGAAACAGACAAAATAATAATAAATAAGTAAAAAATAAATTGCACAGGCAAAGTCAAGCGATTTACCTGACGCAGAAATGCACAAAATGCAAACAGCAATGAAGGAAACAAGAAGGGCAGGTACTCCAAACAAGTGAATTTGTTTGATTACCAGCTCTGATGTGTTATTGCTACTTTTGGTAGTATTTGCACGTGCTCTGTTTTCTCACTTTCTTTTAGCAATTTCGGTACTTTTCTGTTATCAGAAAAAGATCCAGAAATGTATATGTTAATGTATGCCTGTGTTTGTATACATATACACGTATATGCACATTCATACATTTCTGAATCTGGTTTCGATAACAGAACAGTAACTAATACTAATATACTTCACATTTTACTTAATCACTTTTTTATGCTAATTTTTACTTAATGTATGCTAAATACAGTAGAGTCCCGCAAACTCGACTCCGTATATCTTGACATTCCTTATAACTCAACAACGTTTTAAAGATATCTCTAGGCCAAAGAGAGCAAATATTATTGGCTCAGTCCATAAATTTGTGTGCAATTTTTGGTAAATTTTTAAATAATATAAAAAAACAAAATTTAACATTTTAATGAATTATATATTTTCCTCCATTATCTACAATGTCTCGCCATCTTTTTTATGCCATTGCTGTAGAAAGAATCTGGTTTTGATGCAAAAAAACTTGAAAGTTCATTGTGTACATCCTGTTTAGAATTTAATTTTTTTCCCAGTAAAACATTTTGTAAGGCACGAAATAAGTGAAAATCACTTGAGGCAATATCTGGAGAGTAAGCGGGATGTGGCAAAAGCTCCCAATTAAATTCATTAATTTTTTGCAGCGTTGTTCAAGCCGTATGTGGTGTAGCGTTATCATGATGAAACGACACTTTCTTGATATTCACCAAACGTGGCCGTTTTTTGATCAATTCTGAGTTAAGTTGGCAAAGTTGTTCACTATAAAGTTCTGAATTAATCGTTTGATTTGCTTCTAACAGTTAAAAACATCCTGAACGAGGTTCATCATCTATGCTGCTTTTTCCAACTTAAAATTTTTTAAACCATTTCTGGGCAGTCCTTACCCTAATAGTGTGTTCACCATATACATTATTAATTTTTATCGCTGCAAACCTGGCAGATTCACCACACGAAAATTAAAAATGTAGTACAGCACGTTTGTACTGATTATCTATATTCATCTTCTATGAGTACTAAAATGCATTAAATATTTACGAAAGTTTTTGATGAACTGAATAATAAATAAGTTAGTCAAACGATGACAAGTTTCAACAGGTTCAAAATTGTATTGTTTTAGTAAATGCGTCATTGTGAATTCCATGCATACGCTTAATGTGCACGAACTTATGAACTGACCCGATACATACAATACATATAATTCTTATTTATGCATATGTCTTTCCTGTTCTGCTCAAAGATTTGAGTGTTCTTTTCTGTAATTTTTGCTGTTTTCACATTGTGCCTTAAATTCTTGGAACTGCCTAACAATTTCAAGCTATGTTGTAATACTTGGTAGCGCTGTTTGCTTCTTTCGAGGATATGAAGAAAGTCAGGTAGCGGCTGGCCACTGGTTTACATTCCTTTCTATTACAAAATATTAGGAGACATGCCTGAAGTTTTGTGACTGCATCTTATTGCAAACTAAATCCACACCAGTTCATTGCGGGCATCGTTCCTCATTTAACATCCAAGTGTATAAGTGTTAACGTATTTTGGGGAATTAAAAACAAAGTCCAACATTAAGAATCAGCGTAAACTTTTAAAAATGTTTTGCAGTACTAATTTCAATAGTTTTTAATTACTTTCTTCAGCTGGTATGCTGCAAATGAACCAAATAAAGAGTGAAGAAAGATAAGATTTTCTTCACCCTTTATTTGCTTCATTTGCACTTAGCTGAAGAAGGTAGTTAAAAAAATATTGAAACTAGTACTGCAAAACATTTTTAAAAGATTAAGATGATTCTTAATGTTGGACTTTGTTTTTGACTGTTATTCAGTGTGATATTTAAATTATATTTTTGGGAACTTTTGATATTCTGTGAAGTGAAAATGAATTCGAAAAGAAAACAAACAAAGTGACAATGGAAATGAAACTAGATGCCTTAGAGACTGGACAAAGGGAAAAGTCTAAACAAAATTACCATGGATTTAGGTGTTGGATAGACTAATTTGATAGGGTGGAAAAAGAAGAGGTCAGAAATTGAGTTTTGGTGTGTGAAAAGAACATAAACAGATAGTTTAAAGGAAAGAAGAGTATGAAAGTTGGTGAATATGAAAAAGATAAGGGAGGTGCTTTATTTGTGGTTCAGGCAGCAAAGGGAATAG